GTTAGCACTGTGGACTTGGTCCTCTCTACAACCATCCCAATGAGGTCAGTGGATCTGGCTGGGTGTAAGCTTGTGTTGTTAATTTGGCTAGATGTCAAAAACAGGCATTCTGTGGAAGACCACCATCCTTCATTGCAGAGCTTGTCTCATCTTCTGCTTGATCCTACAACAGAGCAACAGCTCAGATCTTTTCTGAGAGCACTTGACAGAGAGCTGGCTGGTTAGGTTTTCTTAACTCTTTTGTTTTCAGCAACTACATCATATAAACATGCATCTAGGCTGGGATTTTCTAAGGGAGTTAGCTATCCCCAACCCCTTTGACTTTCAGTGATATAAGAAGAAAATAAGATGGTAGGCTAGGCCTGGAATAAGTAGGAGAGAAAAATAAAATAATATTAGGCAAGGCTATGTGAAGCAAAAATAAGTGCAAAAACAAGATAGAAAGTCCCAAGACTGAAAATAGGGAACTGATACAAGAGGTCTCTGACAAACAAGCATGATTGAAATTCCTGAAAACTTTGCAACAGAAAACTGATATGAATTTGGAAAGCAACATGTTTTACTTAAAATGAAATTGAAAAATGTCTTAACTGCAGATGTTTTAAACTTCGTTTTGCAGACCTTTTTTTTGGTAAACTTGATTCAGACTATTGTTAAAGTGATATCATATATTAGGGGATTTAATAGGTAAGTCAAGTGGCTTATGTAATGAGAACAGAGTAGTATGATAAGGGTGGCTTTTTGAGATTGAGGTCCTTAATTTATAATGCATCCTGACATTTGGTCAGTCCATTTTCAGCACTTCCTGATTATGCTTTGTTTAAGTGATACATGGCTTTGACAATTTTTTATTCCTTTATTTTACCACAACTATATTCTTTATAGCAGTTAGATGTTTCAGGATCCTCCACATAAAAAGTTGTTTTTTGAGACCAATTTGGATGTTGAACTCAGTAAAATAACAGTCATGTAAAAAATTTAAAAAAGAGAAAATAATCCATTTGGCAACAGAGAGACTATCCCCTGATTCCTAGCCAGAGAGTCTCTTAGGCTGGTCTGGTAGCCCTTCTTTAAGTGTGCAGCACTGAGCTGGAACAAACCTGGTAGGACCTCTGGGAGCTCATGCTCACTATTGAGCTTTCTTCTCTACGAATATGAGACCTGTGGTTAAAAACAGTTCCTTTTTATTCAGTTTGTTTTTCATCAGAAACATTCAGGCATCTTTTCCCATTTCAGATCAACAAAGGGCTTTACCGGTAAAAATTCCTCCAAAACCTGGGTCTCAAAACAGAATTCAATTACACCCCATAATCTATCATTGGAAATCTCCTGTAGCATGTAGGTGTGACTTGCTCCCTGCAAACCAATTGCCTACAAGCCATTTTTCTCACCTGGACCTTGTTTTTAAAGAGAATTTCTAAGGACTAATACCTCCGCTGGGCTTGACCCCACAGTAAACAGCCACAGTGAAATCCAAACTGCTCATTAGCTTATCTATCGTGTGAGATGCCAGAAGTCCAGTTTTCAAAACCAGTTATCCCAGTTTTTGGATGCTTGGACTCCAATCACAATCTCTACTTGAAACCGGTTACGTGGTTCAGATATGGACTCCTTGTTTCATAGATTTTTTATGGAATATTGTTATGTTTGAGTCAGTGTCAGTTACCCCTTTACATTTCACAGATCACATTCAATAGCTAAACTCCTATTCGTCTTGTTCATGTGCCCAGGTCCAAACAAAAACTGTGGGGCCCATCTATGTGCTACCAAACTTTGCCCCTTCAGCCTTGTGTCCCCATCTGCCCATGCTGGGAGAAGTCTTTGATAGAACTTTTGGTGCGGCCATAGTGAGAGTCATGGGCTCCTAAGGAGAAAACACTTATGGCTGGAGTTTGCTGTCAGGATGCATGGACAAATTTCCTCAACAAGGACCAAAGAGAGTGAATTTCCTTGAGCCTCTCAAGATATCTGCTCCAGAACGGGGCTGAAATACACAGGAAGGGTTAGGGAGGGGCAACCTGACAGCATGGCTTCGTGTGTTCTGGGGACTGAAGTCATCAGTGGAGGGAATGAAACGGTATTGACTCCAATGGAGCTATGTCCATGTACATCAGCTGAGGTCACCCCTTTAAGGGACTTTCCTGTTGAATATTTCACCTTCCACTGCAGCATAGCTTAGATATCTGATTGGGATAAGGAGCAGGAACACTGGATGTCTGAGCTACTTCTGCCTTTTGCTGACCTATTCATCATGAATCAGGAGAGTGAAAGGGTGCTGTCTCTGCTTTGCCTCCCTCACTTCTTACAACTTGGTTGTCCTTTCCAGTATGGGATGGTGTTTGATGCGGGCTCCTCCCACACCTCTCTGTTCATCTACCAGTGGGAGTCGGACAAAGAGAACAACACTGGAGTGGTGAGCCAGACATTATCCTGTGATGTGGAGGGTCAGTATTCCTGTCCTGTCCTGTCCTGGCTGTGGGGGGAAGGGCATGTGCTCAGTGCTGCTCTGAGCTTTCTGATGGAGCAGGGCTCACTGGGTGGTGGAAATACTGGGCAAAGCTGGATCCTGTCACCAGGCTCCATAATCACAGGGGACACTGCCACACACATGAAGCTGAGCAGAGAGATGGGTCCTGTGTACACAGGCCATAATACTTGTTCCACACCTCTTACCTGGATCCATTCAGAAGAAGAGGGACCATGGGACCCACGTCTACTAACATTCAGTTACTGTGAGTGGAGTGGAAGCCCAAAGTAGCTCACAATATCCAAAGAGATTTTCAAACCTCTGTTAGGAGGGACATGTAGCAGAGCAGGTAAGGTACCTTCCTATGCCTCAAGAGATACGAGTTTCCGGACATGCACTGAAGGCTATTTCCAGTCCACCCAGCTGAAGATGATTACCTAGTCCTGTGGGCTGGGGAATCAGAAGCAGCGAGATGTGATGTTAGGCCTTGTTTGTCGGAGGCTACAGAAACTGGACTAGTGTTATCTTAACCATTTAAGCCAGATAGGCCACCTAGGCTTGAATTGGACCTTTGAGCTTACAATGGCAGAACCCACCACCAGAGGCAAAGCATAGTTGGACAACCCCCTTGGAATACAAGTGCTATCATCTACCAGGTCTATGTTGAGGGTTGTGGTCCCAATGGGTGTTCAACTCTCTCTCCTCATCTGCTCCGGCTGAGCAGGGGAGAAGAAACCTGCTACTGTCTATGAGGCAAGGATCCCTGTCTCCCAGATTTGCTCCTCACTGGGAATGAAGATCTGGCTCCCCAGAAGCCTTCCCTCACACTGTGCATTGCAGCAAGCTGTGCAGAGGAACCTTGCCAGCAATCCTAGAGGGAACTGAAAGGGTGAGGGGGTGGCATCTTTCCCCTACTATTGTCATAATGAAACTGTGTAACCTAGCTGCAGTTGCAGGGATGTTTAATGACAACCCCATTTCCTAGAGGGAAGTGATGTCTGATGACAAATGTCCGTCAAGTGGCCAAGAGATACACAGTGCTGCTTGGGGCAGGGACCCAAGGTCCCTGGCTTTGTGGTTCCCAGTTGCAGGTAGGTGGCTCATAGGTTCTTTGTCAGCTCACCTGCTGCGAACCTTATCCCACATGCTCTTTTGGGGGGTGAAACACTCTTATCTCTGCTTTCTTCTGGGCCCATTTTTTCTCACAAACTTTATAAACAAATGGCAACAGTGGGCACCAAGGGAAGCAGAAGCTTGTGCTGAACTGTGACCCATCTGCCCATCTCTGTGCAACGAGCCATATGCTTGTGAGTTTTGACTGCAGATATAGGTAGTGTGCTGGCATCAGTGGAAAGCTACCAGTGGAACTATGTCTTCACAGCACAGCATAAACACTGCTGAGCTTCCCACTGGCAGAGGAGGAGCAGGGGTAGTTTGTAATAGAAATGAAGTAATTGCTTTATTGACGCTGCTGGCCGCAGGTGGGCCTGGGGAGCTTTCTGGTTGTCTAACTCTCAGACTAATGTCAATGCTGCCTCATGTCAACCCGCTGCATGGCCTTATGTTTTGGCTTTGAATAAATAATCAGTAAAGTGACTGCTCACTGCATTAGACCCTCAGGCCACATGGTTCACTTGACTGCTTCCATCTAACGTGATCATGCTCCAGGGAGGTGAGGTAAGGAGGTGAGTCAGACGATTGCTAAAAGATTCATGAGCGGGTGACCTATCTCACTGCTAAGATGTAACAGGCTTATCTCCCTAAATCCTCCTCTGCCATTTCCTTTCCTCAGTCTCCCTCATGTATCCAATACTAACTGTGTTCCAGGACCTGGTATATCAAGCTACGCCAACAATCCTCCAAAAGCTGGTGAGTCCCTAAGGAAATGTCTGGATGAGGCCATGAAGATCATTCCTGCTGAAAGACAGAGTGAGGCACCAGCTTACCTTGGAGCTACAGCAGGCATGAGGCTACTGAGGTATTAACACTGGGCCTCAGGGACAAAGAAATGCCTTTCATGCTACAAATGATATGTTATAGTAGGACTAAGGCCAGAGTGCTTTGCTCATATGCTGACCTAAGCAAGTCACCAGAGTTGCAATAGATCTCAGCACACTGGGTGCCTAATGAAGGCTGAATGGTTCTGAAAATCTCATCCGCCATTGCAGATATTATGCCCTCGAACATTTGACCCCAGCTGTAGCTTGACAAGGGAACCCATAAAAGTTATCTAAATCTGTGTACATAGGTTTACTTAGATTCACCTCCTCTAGGAACTGCTGCTGGGTGATTTGACTTGTAGGGTTTCCAGTTCTGGACAGAGGGGCGGCTGGAGTTGAGGAGAAATATGTAAAACTACTCAGTTCCCACAGTGTGGGATGTTAACTGCAGAAACACGACGCTCGTGAAACTGCACAAAGCAGAACACCTTGCATTTCTTAGGAGCTACTGACCGACTCTCTGGCATGTGAGAATCTTTCCTTCTGTACCCTTCTCAGGCAAAAGAACAAATTAGCTGCAGATCAAGTTTTGAATGAAGTTGCTAAGACCATGCAACAGTACCCTGTGAATTTCCGAGGGGCTCGAATCATTACAGGAGAAGAAGAGGGAGCCTATGGCTGGATCACTGTCAACTACCTGCTGGACTCCTTCATCAAGGTGGGCCTTTGGAGTGAGGGAAAATCCTGCCTCTTTTTTGCTACTGTTAAGTTTGATTTCTTAAATCTCTAAGTTAATTTAGTTCTTATAAAAGGTTCTGGGTGGATGGTCTTAAAAAATGGCGGGCCTTTATCCTTTTCCCACTCTTCCTATAGTATTCATCTTAGACATCAGATCGTAACGGTTTGCAGACTCATTTCAATCCTGGTATGTATTTTGACTAGTGACCTAAGAATGGCCTCTTTCTTATCCTGATAGAGTCCCAGCCCCCAACGCAGCCAGTTTGCTTTATTGTAGTGTAATGTAACATCACCATCAGAAGATGCTACTGGTTTAGAAAAAGCCCATGATCAGTCTATCCATTGACACCCAATGACACCAATCAGCCAAGAAACAGTATCATGTGATATAGACATAAACAAAGATATCATTAAAGATAAACAGGAAGGGAAATACTACATTTTGCTATTAAATAAGAGGAAATTAAGGCACTCTTATGGGCAAAAC